TGGAACTGGAGTTACAGACAGTTGTTAGCTGCCATGTGGGTGCTGGAATTTGAACTCAGGTCTTCTACAAGAACAACCAGTGTTCTTAACTGCTGAGCCATCTCTCCAGCCCCAGAACTAGAAAATTTTAAATGAATAATGGAAATCAAATTGATCAAATCAGATATAACCCAAGGCAGAATTGAATAAATCCTTATAGGAGTACCAAAAGAATGCTGTGGGAATACCAAAGAATGAACTAGTCTCTCTCATTGAAAGAAACCAAGACAGTGTCTCAGAGTGGTTTGCATTTCAATGATCCCTGCACAGTGTAAAGGGTTTTGACAAGCTGAATCTTAGACTCTTCTTTGAGATCTTATGTTGGTGCTTCCACAGTAGGGATTGTTCTTATACAATTTGAATGTAAATTTGGTATGTATTGTCTACCTTCCTGTCTTAACTTGCAACTTCAGTCAGAAAAAAAAAAATTAAATTCTTTATTTGACTTTCTGCAGTTTGATGCTAGTGATGGCAGGAAGAACATCTTACAAGGGAATCTGGTTATTTGCATTTTGCTTCTAACAATGGTAATGAACTCAGGGTGCAACAAGACTGCAAACACGATGTAAATGAAATATTCTTTGGGGTTTTGCTGCAGATGATGTGCCTGATGTACATGGCCCTTGCATGATGGTTTTAATTAATTATATTCTGTATTATCTAGAACATCTTCACTAAGCTCTACAGTGAGCAGAGATCTGCCCTCTTCCTCCCTCTCTTCATGTCCCCCACCACCCCACAGGTTCAGCCCCCATTTTGTACTCCAGATGAATTTACATACTGGGCGACAGACTGTGGAAATTACGCAGGGGCACTTATGTATTTCTGTTCATTCTATGTCATCATCGCCTACATCATGCTGAATCTGCTCGTAGGTAAGAGATGTGCATTGATTTTTTTTCCATCTCCTCAAACTCAGGTACTTACATAATTATGTACAATTTTCAAGTAATTATCCTGGATTGCTTGGGGCGGGTGTTTCATGGCATTAATTATAAATTGTTGCCTCTCAACCCAGGAGCTGAAAAGACCTTTGAAAGGCATGTAAATGGCAGTTGATTGCAATTTCAAGAGTTGTCCTATTTATTATGATCATTATTACCAAAGAGCTCTTCCCATGGATTAAATTGAACACAAATCAGAGAGGCTACTTTTACAGCCTAGAAATATCACATTTTTTGTTTTTGAAAGATATATTTTGTTCACCCAGCTGTGGGGCCACCCAGACCCAATATAACCCTTAAAAAATGCCCTGGAACGCTCAAGTCAGAGTGGAGACAGCTGGCATGAATGTGTACACACAGAGTGCTTTTGAGCCTATGACCCTCATGTTTGGAAAAGGCAAGTGCTGGGTAAATAGCTTAGTCCAAGTGTAAAACATGCCAACTTGGAAACTGTACTAAAAGCTCTTTTAAAAATTGGCATTGTAACTGTGAGTGATAACATCTATTATTTATAATAGATGTTTTACTTTTTCTAAAAAATTAGAGATTAACATACTTGTCTAACATCTGAATTTCTCATTTTCTTGGGTTTTTTTTTTTCAAGCCATAATTGTGGAGAATTTCTCCTTGTTTTATTCCACTGAAGAGGATCAGCTTTTAAGTTACAATGATCTTCGTCACTTTCAAATCATATGGAACATGGTGGATGATAAAAGAGAGGTAGGGGCCTGGGGATATGGCTCAGTTGGTAGAGTGCTTGCCTAACATGCATGAGATTCTGGAGTTGATCCCCAGCACTGCATAAACCTGGGTGTGGTGGCACATGACTATAATTTCAGCACTTGGAACTCTATAGAGGCAACAGAATCATATGTTGCAAGGTCTTCTCTGACTACATATTGAGTTTGGGACCATCCTAGGCTACATGAAACCATGGAGAGGGAGGAAGGGAAAAAGGAAGGGGGAGTAGGGAGAGAGAGATCACTGTTTTATGTTCCAGCTCAAAGAGACTGACTAACATATTTCAAAGATCTTATAGTTTAATATTGATATACATTGAATGTGGAACTGCCATTGCTGACTTGCAGAAAGCTGCCGTATGACTTGATAAGTCAGATAAAAATGCAAGGAGGACAGAGGGACAGAATAGTTCCTCCTTGTGTCCCTTTCAATCATGAACATCCTGCCCTTCTGACTTGTAAGAAGTTGGCAGGGAAAGGAGGCCAAAGGAGACTCAAAGGAATCAGCTTTGGGCTCAAGCAGGAGAAAGGGAAATTTCAGCTCCCAGAGGGGAAAGCCTTCCATAGACTTACTATCACTGCAACCTCAAGCAGTCATCTTGATGAAAGCACACAGGAGTCCCAAGTAGAATATGAAGCTGTAGCTCACTGCTGGAGCACTTGATCAGTGTGCAAAACACCCTGTGTTCAATTCTCAGTGCCACCAGCAATTAATTCACTAATTGTGTCTGGACCTGGTCATTTTGAGCTATTGCTGAGTTAGCATGTAAATATTTTATCCATAAAGCTTACCCCAAATTTTCTAGAGTTAGCCAAAGCAGCAGCAGCCTCCATGTTCTCATCTCCTCCTCCTCCTCCTCCTCTTCCTTCTTACCTCCTTCCTCTTCTTCTACCTTCTCCCCCTCAGAATCCTCCATCTTCTTCCCTTTTTCTCCCTCACTCCCCTTGGCTTCTTCATCATGATCCTAGGAAAGTCAGCAGCTCGAGACACCGAGGTAGAGCAGTCAGTAAGATGGCAAGGTCCCTATGCTCACGGAGCTTATGTTCTAAAAGAGGGAGGCAATCAATCAAAAGGGAGGTGGTAGCTAGTGTTACAGATTATCATCCCTAATCCAAAATGATGCTTCAAACTTTAAATTTTTTTAGAACCAATTTGACATTAAAAATGGTAGAACCCAAACCTGAGTTCATGTTGCAAGTTAAGACAGCACACAGGTGAACTAATAGTATTGTATATAATTACTTCCAAGGTATGTGTATAAGGCATATGTGAAACATAAATGAATGACACATGTCTGTAATCCCAGCACATGGGAGGAAGAAGCAGGAGGGTCAGGAATTCAAGGCCAGCCTGAGCTACATATTAGCAAGTTTAAGGCCAGCCTAGGTTACATGAGACCATTTCAAAACCATAGAAATAAAAAAAATAAAAATAAAAAAAGCAAGAAATGAATTTCATGCTTAGACTTTAATCTCATCCCCAAGATCATTCACTATGCATATGAATATTCCAAAATCTGAACAAACTAAATTTGAAACACTTCTGACCCCAAGCATTTCAATAAGAAATACTCTACTTGTATTACTGTCAGAAGTCATGAGCATGTTGAAGAGAGTAAGGGCTAGAGTGGCTGGGATTGGGGTGGATCTCTTAGCTGGGATGGTCATGAAGGCCTGTTGAGGAGATGACGCTTGGTCTGACATCTGAGAAATGAAGAAAGTTCAACCATGGAAAGCCACGTGGGGGAAGGTCCAAATAGTTTCAAGAAGAGTTGAGAAAGCAAATGCAAGGAGCCAGAGTAGAGGTCTAAATGGGGGTCCCAGGGGAGTGCCCTGGCCTGGTTCGTTTATCTCATCTAGATCCAATTGTATCTCCTTGACTGTGACCCACAGGAACCTGATCTTACCTAATACATATAAGGAAGAATACACTCCCATTCACAGAGATGCTAATGACTGCCAGGAAGCCTGTGCCTACCAGGTTCATCCACAAAAATGATCAGGGATGGCGTGGCAGGCAATTTCTTTTAGAGCCTTCTTGTCTTGTCTGTAATTTGTTCTAATCATGGAGAACACCTGCAAGGAAGCTATCTTTCAGTGGAAGAGAAACAATAAATGCTGAGCCCCCAGCATCCAAACTGAGGAGGGTTGTATACCAACACTAATTTACTGCACACTCTTCATGGGAATAGATTACTCGCCCATCCAGCAAGTGTGCAAGTGAAAGGGGACAGACTGCCGATCATAAGCCCTGAGTGCTGGCTCCAGGGAAAGCCACAGGGGTGTCTCTCACTACTGCCTTCCCTGGTTCTATGGGCCATAATACCATGATAAGCCACAGAGCCAGAAGAGCATCAGCTGAAACAGGCTGCTCAGTATTCCATGTCACGCTCTAAGCACACATCATTCTGCTCAGCTTCCAAAGAGGCCAAGACTTTCCTCCTGACTAGTGCTGATCATCCTGTTTCAGCCTCCTAGGTGTTGGTATGGCAAGCATGTGCCACCTGGCCTGGCTCATAGCTTTATTTGTTGTCTGGGCTTCCCTGTGAAATCACACACACACACACACACACACACACACACACACAAACAAACATGCAGAGGTGAGTCCCTAGGGCCGCCCCATAACTTACTAGTCTTTATGCTAACCCACCCAGGGCGTGATCCCCACCTTCCGAGTCAAGTTCCTGCTGCGGCTGCTGCGTGGGAGGCTGGAGGTGGACCTAGACAAAGACAAGCTCCTGTTTAAGCACATGTGCTATGAGATGGAGAGGCTTCACAATGGTGGTGACGTCACATTCCATGATGTCTTGAGGTATGAAGCAAGTTCCAGGATCCAGGATCACAGAGCTGACCTAAGGCCAGAAATCAGAGCTGTGACCCTCAGAGACCAGTGAGTTCAGTTACTTTTTGAATTGGTGAATTGAAAACCTCTGAGCTGCCACACTGAGTTGTTGTGTTTATAACGCAAGGTCATACTTCCTAGGCAGGAAGTGGCCTTTCTCACTGCCCCATAATGACCATGTCCAATCAGTGTCTCATGCAAGAGGGGTAGGAAGCAGTGGCCTGCCATCACAGAGGGGAACCTGGAAGAATGTGGCCCCACCTATTCATTTTGGAATGAGGGTGCTGTTCTGCAAGAGTAAAGTGACTTGCTCAGGGTCATTTGGTTTTGTGGCTAAAGTGGAGCTAAAATCCAGACTCCTCACTCAGATGAGCCTGGCAAGAATCTGCCATGGCTTCTCTGTGATATTGCTCCCTGCCCCTTGCTTAAAACACTAGAGTTTCTAAATGTTTTATGAGCACCAGACAGGACAAAGGCTCAAAATCAGTTCTGCCTTTCATTCTCTGAACAGCATCTGTGTTGGCTTCCCAGTGCTGCTGTACTGCTGTAATGAAGTGCCAAAAACAGAAGTTTCTTGCTCATGGTTCTGCAGGCAAAAAATAGGAGGTCAGGGTGGCAAAGTTGGTTCCATGACAGGCTGTGAGGAAGGACCTGTTCCAGGCCTCTCTGGGAGCTTCTAGTGACTTTCTGCAAAGCTTAGCTTACAGAAGCAGTCTCTGCCTTCATCTTCACAGGGCTCTTTCTCTTTCTCCATCCCCCCCATTTGTGTATGACTATCCAAATTCTTCCTTTTGTAAGGACACCAGTCACCTTGGGTTAAGCCCCCATTCTATTATAGTATGGCCTCACTTTAACTAAATGCATCTGCAGAAAATTCTTTACAAATAAAGTCTCATCCTGAGCCTCTAGGGATTAGGGCTCCAATATATTTATTTTGGGGGGAAAGATTTAACTCTTGGGTATTATGTCACAAATTTGGGAGTGTTCAGGTAACCAAAAATCCATTTTTGGCTGGAAAAAGAAAAAAAGATTAAATCAGAAGAGGAAGGACAGGAGAGAGTTCCTTGATTTCCTTAATGTCATACTTAAAAAGGGTCTCATAGATAAGATTTGAGAGTCCTTGCCTTGCAAAAGAAAATAATTATATCTCTATTTGATTTTTTAAATATTTTATTTAGTTATTATTTTTATTTTGTGTGTATGAGTGTATTGCTTGCATGTGTGTAAGTGCACCCATATTGTGCAATGACGGCGGAGGTCAGCAGAGGGCATTGGATTCCCCTGGAACTGGAGTTACAGACAGTTGTTAGTCACCATGTGGGTGCTGGGAATCAAACCAGGGTCCTCTACAAGAGCAGCTAGTACTCTTAACCAGAGCCATCTCTCCAGCCCTATATCTCTATTTTCAGTAACCACTCCTTAAAAGGCAGCACCTTCTTCAATGATGAACTCAGGCAACAAACTGTATCATTAACAATAGCCATGTCTTGTCACAAGTAGAAATCATAGTTATTCTCAGGTCATATTGCTAACTTCCTTGACTGACATCTTAAACTATCATTTATATGCTACCATTAGTTTTATGTTACTGTGTCATTTGACCTCAGCTAGATGTTATTTAATGGACCAATGTAGAAAGATTTATACCCATATCAGTACCTTTGCAAAGAAACTAATTTGAGAAATCTATTTCAATGTAGTGTATCTCCTTCATAATAATGTGTATTTCAATCCACACATGCAAAACATTATCCTAAAAAAAATGCTTCCCAGGCTCTACTGCCAGAGACGTCAGTGACACAGAAATCCACAAGCACCCTCGACTGGCAGTAGCTATTTTACTCATGTCGCAAGTGCCTGACAAGTTAAGTGTTGGGTATTATGTCACAACTTTTGGGAGCATTTAGCTAGACAGAAATCCACATGTGGTTAAAAAAAGTCAAAAAAAGATCAGAGCAGAAGAGAAAGGGTCTGGGGAAATTCCCCAAAGTTATCCATTTTGCTTCCCACTCTCCTTTCCTTCCATTAATAAGCTAAGGGCTCAGAAAGATGGGACAGGAAACGAGTGAATGAGAACTGATGTCATCTCAGAATGATGACCTTTCCTCCTAACAGCAAAATGACTGTAGTTTGGATGGGAGGCACTCAGACCTACTAGTGTTATTAATTAGCATTCAGCCTCTCTGGAGCATAATGGTGCCTCTGATAAAAAGGGACTGGGATAAGTCAGTGCTAGTGGTTTGCCTCTCCCTGTTCCATAGAAGTTAAGTAATACTGAGCTTCTTGAGTCAGGGAGTACTTAAGAGCATTTTATGAATGAACTCTTTTCCTCCACGATGGGAAGAAGCTTAGCAAAGAAGAGAAGGCCAATATCCCAGTGTTCTTAGAACCCCCGTGCATGGCTTGGGCACCAGTGGTGGCCCTGAGCTCACAGCAGACATCTGAGTGAGATCCTGGAGTCCTGAGGTTATACCAGAGTACACAGTGCTTCCAGATGGGCCTGTTTTCTCCTTTGGTTGTAGACCCTTCAGTCCTGATGTGCTCAGTTACCCAACTGCCCCTATGCCCAAAAATGTTAGTTTCACTTACTACTCTGTCTGGGTCTGTTGAGCCAAGTGCTAGATGAGAGTGACTATTCATAGGGCTTTATGTCTTCTGAAATTAATAAGGAAGACAGCGAGGGATAAATGAAATAGAGAGGGAAGTGTGGTGGGGCATGCATCACTCAGCCACGATATGAACCATCAGCAATTAGAACTAATCATGAAGAAAGTGTGGAAGCAATATGCTGATATGTTTCCTTCTGTAGAAAAAGTCCCAGAATCTGAACTTAGGCAGCGAGAACTGTAGATCATCACCTAACCTGGATCTTTTGCTGAATAAGCACCTAAATGGCATTCACTCTTACAAGTGCCCCATAGATATCAACTCACCTCATCATTCAGTAAGGTAGGTGCCAAGATTGTCAACACCACATACACAAGAGAGATGCAGAGGTGACATAACCAGCCCATCGCCCACCTGGTAAAGAGTGGCATCAAATGTCATACTGGCTGGCTACAGTGATGTGCTCTCTGGATTCTGAAACCTCTGAAGGTCTAAACCCTAGATGAGTCAGACCTGTAGTACTACTGTGTTCCCCTGTCCCCCAGCATGCTCTCCTATCGCTCCGTGGACATACGGAAGAGCCTGCAGCTGGAAGAGCTGCTAGCACGGGAACAGCTGGAGTACACCATAGAGGAGGAGGTGGCCAAACAGACCATCCGCATGTGGCTGAAGAAGTGTTTGAAACGCATCCGGGCCGTGAGTGAACCACAAGCACAGGGTTTGGGTTTCCCACCCTGTCTTCGTTTCTTTTCCTGTTGCTGGGATAAAGTACCCTGATAAATGCAACTTAAAAGAGAAAAGGTTTATTCTGGCCCACAGTTCAAGGGTATAGGCCATTATGGCAGGGAAGTCAAGGTGTCAGGGGCTTGAATTACCTGGTCACATGGAAGTCAAGGTGTCAGGAGCTTGAATTACTTGATCACGTGGAATCCATCATCAGGAAACAGAGAGATGAATGCATTCTAGTGCTTGGCTTGCCTTCTCCATTTTATACAATCCAGGATCCCTGACCAGGAAACAGTTCTGCCCACAATTAAGACTGGTTTTCCCACATCAATAAAAGAAGCAAGATAATCCCACACAAACATGCCCCATGCCTGTATCTCAGGTGATTCTTGATTCTATCAAGTTGACTATTAACACTGACCATCATACATACTCTCAGGGAAAGGGGGCAGAAAAGAAGAATGCTACCAGCTGACAGGATTCTTCAGAGACTAGCCTGATACCCATTAAACTGTGTCCACTTCATCCACTTAGGGTGGTCAGATGCTGCTGTAGCCTTAGCTCTACTCCAGACTCAGCCTCATCTCCATCAGCAAGCTCCATGACACAGTTCAGTTGGATCACATTTTTGTAACATGAAGGTTAAAAAAGAGTTTGGGGTATTAAAATATTTATGATCTCCACGTACAAAATCCCCAAAATATCTACTGAGATTGAATTTACAAAACTACTTTTAAATTGCTGCAAAAAGTTCCAACATACAGTTGATGTTGTTTGGTCCCTAAAGACCACCTCTCATGGAATTTTAATGACGTGTCTGCTGTCTCCTGAACTCTAAGATTGTAAGAGGCTCTCACATACTAATGAACATATACTCTGTTGGCACATACTGTGTTTCCAGTGAGTACTTCTATTAGGTAAGCATTAATTAACATTTATTAATGCTTTTGACTTCTACTTCACATATAGAGAAGAAAAGTGAACTAATCACTAAACACTTCTTAACGTGTAATAAATGTTTATAAAAGATTTGTTCATCCTGCTCTTAAAAATAACACCACTAACTGAAGAAGCACGCATTTCTATTGGAGGGAAAAGTGTCTCCAAAGAAAAACATTACTCAGACCCTAGAGCAAGACCACCTGCCTACTTCTGTCTAGCCACAGCTGGCTCACTATAGCTCTGTTAGTTCCAGAGATCCCAAATGTCCACCATAGGCCCTGAGAGGACACAGGGAGTCCTGGCCAGGACATGGTGGACTGCTGGATTGTCCTACCAGGCCAGACCACAAAGTCCAGACTAAAAGGACAAGGTTTCCTCATCTACCCAAGATTCTCTGGTGCTTACAACTTGCAGGAAAAGGAAGACTGGCATTGATTAAATGAGATAGACTTCAATAAGGAGGAAAAAATAGAATTAGTGACTTTAAATAAAACATAAGCTAGAATCAAGGAGATCACTAATCCAATTGTTAAGCAAATGGAAAGGTAGAAGTAGGCCTCTAATCTCAAGCTTTCTTGAGTTCAAGATTTTTATTTGGAATTTTCTAAGAGGTCAACAATCCTACAGGTCTTCAGAGAGGGGAGAAGAAAATGTGACTTGATAGGAGGGGGCAGAGAGGCTGGGCACTTTTTTCTCCATACTGAAAGGGACAGCATCTTCCCATAGAAACAGCAGCAGTCATGCAGCATCATCCACAGCCTGAGGGAGAGCCAGCAGCAAGAGCTGAGCAGATTCCTGAATCCTCCCAGCATTGAGACCACCCAGCCAAGTGAGGACACCAGTGCGAACAGCCAAGATCATAATACGCAACCTGAGGTAGGACATGAGGTATGGGATTTGAACATTTCAAGCGAAGTGACAGTACTTCTCACAAGACCTTTTGTTTTGTGGTCAAATAACCAAAGCAATGGGAACATTTGTATCCAGATGTTCTTATTTTGCCATTTAGGATTCAGTTGAGACTGGTTTGCATAGTGTATTAGGCAGCTTTCTATTACTGAACAAAATGCCTGAGACAATCAACTTAGAAGCAGGAAGGGTTTACACCACTCACAGTTTTGAGTTCATGGGCAGTTGACTCCATGCTGTGGGGGCTGTGGTGAGGTAGCACATCATGGTAGGACTGCAGAGAAAACTACCCATTCCATGTTAGTCAGGGAGCAAAAGAGAGATACAAAGGAGATAGGATCCCAATATCCCCTTCCAGGACACCTGTCACCACCAATAACCTAACTTCTTTCTACTAGGCTCCTTCCCCAAAAAGGTCTATACCACCTTCATTGGAGTAATAGACTGGAGACCAAGCTTTGTAGGACACTAAAGATCCAAACTATAGTATAGGGATACTATATCCTGAGTGCTACTTGTTCCTTTTGTCTAAATGCTAATATCATGCATAAGAGCTAAACTCAGTACATCATGGAAATTTGTAGTAAAGTCAGCAAAATGTTTGCACTTGACTTTCAACCCTCTTCAATAATCAAATGCATCACAGCTTAGCTGGACATCAGAGGAGCATGTGGAATTCAGGAAGATGGCTTCAGGAGCTTCTGTCTACTAAAACACAGCCCGTTTTCATTTTTTTCATTTTCAAAGTTATTCTGCATGTCTATAAAAAATAAACAGGGCAGTTGCCAGCATCTGGGAGAGCCCTGTGCTGTGAGAAGCAGCTGGCAGGGATGTCCTTCCCCTTTATGGTGGCTGCAATAATGATTTGCTGATAATCACATGAATCCCATCCAGTACTTTATGCATAGCCCCCAGCAGTGCTGAGCTCATGATGTGTAGCATTGCTGTCAGAGGTCAGACAAACCTTGAAGCCTAAGGCTCCTTGGCCCAAAAGAGGCTCCAAAAGAACCTCTTTGTGCCCTGGTCCAATTTTGTGCTCCCCAGCATGAAACCAAGAAATCGGCTGCTACCATCTATACAGACTTTTACAGGGACAGTCAGCAAAAGAGGTTAAAAAGAAGGTCCACAGTAGTCCCATCAGCAATCTGCCCAGAGGATAGCTGGTCATACTTTATATGGAGGAGCCAGATAAGGTTGGGACAGAAACAGACACAGGACCAGTGAGGCAGGGCAAGTGATTTCAGAGTTCTTAAGGTAGCCAAAAAGCCAAGCAGGAATGTTGAAATGATATTCAAACCAAGACAGTGAAGAGTTAGAGAGATAGCTCAGTGGTTTAAGAGCACTTGTTACTCTTCCAGAGGACCCATTTGGTTCCCAACACCCACATGCAATGGCATATAACCACCTACATTTCCAGTTCCAGGTCCTCTTCTGGCCTCTTCAGGTACCTGCATATATGTAGCATACATGTTAAACATACATATATAAATAAAATAAATCTTTAAAAAATAAGACTGTGGTTAGAAAAAAGCAAGGTGCCAGACTTGAGCTAGAGACAAGGTAAAGTGCCTGGAAAGTCTTTTCCAGTGTCAGGCTGTCCTCAGCATTGATCTCCCCAGGACCCATCACATAACTCTGCCTACCAAGACATACCTCCTGGAGTTTCAGGTTATGACCTCTGAGCTGACAAAAGTCCACAGCCTCAAAACAGCCAATCCCTGCCACCCTGTCATCCCTGTAGTGCTATTGTCTCTGCCTCATTTTCCAGTTGAGGTTAAGAAATCAATAATGTCCTCAGGCATGAAGAAAGTAAAGGTTGGATACTAATCAGGATGCTAGGAAAAAGGTGTTACCTAGAGGGCTGTGTTCTGTTGCCCACTAAGTAATGATAGGTCCTTGGTTTTCCTTGACTCTTTTACCCAATTTCACATCTCTTTTCTGTCTTGTGGATGCTGTGAATTTCTGTTAGTCTTCCTACTTGTTTTTCTGCCATACTTATTCCTTTATAATAATAAAAAGTGGGCCTAGATCCATGCAGAGTGACAAAAGAGAACAGCAATTATAAAGAGACGTAACTTATGAGATCGTTTCTCCAAATGAGTGACAGAATGTGGTGTTTGTCTTTCTGTACCTGGCATATTTCACTTAACATGGTACCCTCCAGTTCTATGCATTTTGCAAGTTCTGATGTTCTGTGGAACAGTAGAATTACTATAGAATAGTAGTTATGTTTCTCATTGCTGTGACAAAATGCCTGATGAGAGCAGCTTAAGGAAGAAAGGGTTTACTTTGAGTCATAGCGTGAGAGTATGTAGTCCGTCATGGTGGGGAAGGTATGGTGATAAGAGTGGTAGGCAGTTGGTCACGTTGTATCAGAGAAAGCAGAGAGAGAGAGAGGAATTCCAGTGCCCCACTTGTTTTTTCTCCTTTTTATTCAATCTAGGACCCCAACCCATGAGATGCCCACACTCAGAGCAGATCTTCCCACCTCAGTTAGATCGTCCCACCTTAGTTAAACCTCTCCAAAAATATTCTCATAGACACAGACTAGATGATTCTAAATCCCATCAAATTGACAAAAATAACTGTCACATATAGTCTACAACAATCTCTGATATGTATCAAAGCAATTAGGAGAATATCAATATTCCAAACATGTAGAAATAATACATATTTGAGAAACTGAAAATGGCAGTTGCCCTGATTCCATCATTGAATATTTGATATATGTATTGATTATAATACAGTGCCACATGCATATTTTGTGACACTTTTTTTAATATCCACAACCAACTCTTCTCCCACGTAGACAAGCAGCCAGCAGCAGCTCCTGAGCCCTACACTGTCGGACAGAGGAGGAAACCGCCAGGATGCAGCTGATCCTGGGAAACCCCAAAGAAAGTTTGGACAATGGCGTTTGCCCTCAGGTAAGTACATCAGTCCTTTCTCTACCGTTTGGGGGTCATTTAAGAGAAATTTACTTTGTTTGGGGTCTTAGATAATATGCAGGTCTATATTAGTCAGCTATCTGTTATTGTAACCAATACCTGAGATAAGTAGCTTTTAAAAAAACTCAGTGTTGGAGGTTTCACCCCACAGTCAGCTGGTCTGTTGCTTTTGGGCCTGTGGTGAGGCAGCACAGCATGGCGGGAATGTGTGATGGAGGAAGCTGTTTACCCCACCACAGCTGGGAAAAGAAAGAGGGAAAGAGATTGATGTTCCACAATCTCCTTCCAGGGTATGACCCGAGTTGACCTAAGACCTCCTAGTAGGCCCCACCTCTTAAGATCCCACCACTTCCCAATAGCACAAGCTGGGGCCAAGCCTCCAACACATGGGCCTCTGGGGGACATTTCAGACTTACCCAGGGTATGTATCTGCTTGTTGCTAGACAATGAAACAATGAAAATGTATCCCCTCATCAAACATTCTCCTCAAAGTAACTTCTCTGAACTGTATTGGCCCTCATTTTCAGCTGCCATCCCTGAGAAGACGGCACCTGTTAACAAAATGAGATGTTACAGCCAAGATCCAGAAAGAAAGGAGGAAGAGGTTTCCAAGGGCTTCCTGGGTACAGTCAAGGCATCTCAAATATGGGCAAACCTTATTTAATCTAAGAAGAAATGGGTAGATATGATCATTCAGAAAATGCCATGGAGTTTTCAGAAAAGGCTTAGGCCCACTTTACCCTAACACACACTGTGTACCTGAGCATCTTACCACCCTCATGTGGGCTTCTCTACCTCAAGGTTTGTCAAGGATAGCCAGGACAAACCTTCCTGTAGCACTGACTACTGTGTGCCAATCACTGATCCAAGTGCACTGCCTGTGTTCCCTCAGTTAATCATCATGACTCAAATATTTTCCACATTTTCTGACTTTTCCAGAATGAGGTTCTGGAAAGCTAAGATAGACTCATGAAGAGACTCTCAGGAATGGAGGAGAGCAATTCTATATTCAGCCCAGTGCCTTCTGCACCTGCTCTCTGTAGAGATCTGAGTCCATGGTGAAATAAGGTTTCATCTGATCTTTTAATCAGGTTTAACTTCAGCCCCATCCAAGCGAGAAGATGGGTGACCCCCAAAAGTCTTCTGCCACATGTCTGTTCCACAAAGCAGAAGGCAGTGCAGCTTACATTCTGAAACTAGAGAGGCTCCGTGTATCTTAAAGTCACCACAACCAAAGAAAATGGCTTTTTTTTTTATCCAAAGACCTAATGAGGGATCAGAGAGGGTACATAGTTTTAGTTTCATCCTACAGGCAATTAGACAGTAAAGATTTCTGAGCAGCAGGTGACATTTGGAAACTTGATTTAGGAAGACCAGTGTGGCAATAGTGCAGAGCCAGTTGCCTCTGGCAGCACCTAAAGGCACACAACAGGCTAGAAGATCTGAGAGCATTCCAGACACAAGTGTGAGGACATGGCCCAAGCTGCAGGTCCAACACCACAGGCAGATAAAAGAGATGACGTAGGAAGAATGTACCATCCCTTAAATGGACAAATGAAGGAATGTTGTCAAAGCACTTCCAATGGTCCAAGTCCATGTCATCCCAGCGTCAAAAAGGTGGTAGCCATAAAGCCATGCTATTAGCAACATGCTGAGTTTGATGGAGGGGTAAAGGGAAATCAAAAGAGCATTTCAAGGAGGCACCAGCAGTGCACCAGGCATCACAGCAGCCACTTTGTTACATCATTTCATCTACCTTAAGCCTCACAGAAATACAGTGAAGACCCTTTAATTCTCTTCATTTACAAAGGAGGAAATTTAGGTTCTTAGACATGCACTTGCCAGTAGCTAATATCTGTAGATGACACATAGGACCCAAGACCAGAGCCAGGGGAACTCAAAGTCACCTCTGCTTCCCACACCTGCCCTGCCTCCCTTCTCTCTCCTTATCTTGGACTACACCCCTCCCTTTTTTTTTTTTGGTGTTTTGTTTGTGTTTTGTTTGTTTTTTTCCCCTTTATATGCAAATGCTAATGAATACCAGCTCATACAGACTTTCATGCCACTTTTGTTTTACCCAAATTGGAACTGCTAGTCATTTCTAATTTTCATAATTTTTTCAAAGTGAAAGGGGCCAGCAGCATATTTTCCCAAATGCCATGATTAGTTGCCCTCGAGCATAGTTTTGAAAATCTATTGGAAAAATCAAACTGAAAATATTTCTTATTTAACATCTAGAGATAAAATTTGGGAGCCCAAAGTATTGCTGATCCGAATGTTGTGTGGTTCTCCAGGAATGACTGCAGTAAGGTGAGGCAACACCAAGTTGCTCACAAGACTCTTGTTCATTCCACAGCTCCCAAACCAATAAGCCATTCTGTGTCTTCGGTCAACCTACGGTTTGGAGGGAGGACAACAATGAAGTCTGTGGTATGCAAGATGAATCCCATGCCCGACACAGCTTCCTGTGGCTCCGAAGTTAAGAAGTGGTGGACCAGACAGCTGACTGTAGAGAGTGATGAAAGTGGAGATGATCTTTTGGATATATAGATGGTTGTCAAAACACAAAGGAAGTTACATGGGGAAAACTGTTTTCTAGCATTCTTTCATCATCTTGCAAGCAATCCATAATTGCTACACATTTAATTTCAACTTGGCATAGGATTTTTTCATTGATTTTTGTCCCTCCACAGTAAAGGTTGGTCAAAGCTATATGTGTGTTGGATTATTATTATGTATTAAAGAAAATTTGGGCCTGAGGGTATATGTCAGTGGGAAAGCACCTGCCTGGTATGTACAAAGCCTATGTTTGATCCCCAATACCACAAGAAAAGAAAATATGTGTAATGATAGTATTGATACTTAGACACTATATCAACAGCAGATATAGACCAAACATTTCATACATTCTGTCTGTGTAAACCAAGGTATATATTCATAGGAGCTTTTGCATATTTTTAGTACCCCTCAAAGCATGCTAAGCCAAAAGTGACTGATATTTATGGTAGAGGTGTTAACAGCTTTAGTTTAGCTTTTTTTCTCGTTTTCCAATAGAAACACTTCTCTTGGGAGAATTTATTATTTATGATTGATCTGAAAAGGTCAGCACTGAGCTCATGTTAAAATGATAGTAGTTTCAAAAACTACAGATACTGAATTTTTTAGTCTATTCTTTTCCTCATGTTATTTTTAAAGATATGCATAAGGTGTTCAGAAATCAGAGCAATTGATTTGTGTCTTCAGTTGCTCTAATGAAAGTGAAACCAGCTTACAAGACAGTTGAATACGCAGGTCCCAGGTAAGGGAATTGGCCCAGTGGCTGGTGTAATAAAAACCTATAGGCGGATTACCTGAGGGATATGGAGAAGCAAAAAAATGTTTCTTTTAAAATCCTCTTAATAACTAAGTTTAGGAAACAGGGTAAAACTTCAAGACTCCATTTATTTAAAAGTCTTTCCATATGAGAGGTTATTGTGGGCGTCATGGATGATCCGTGGTTGTGGCTATTTTTCTGGGAATCAGCAGGGACATTGTGGGTTCCCCCAACACACTATTGCTATGTGAGATTCAGAATAATTCTCCTGCTGCCAGAATCTTCTATGGAAATAATGGTATGATCTTTCTCTGAACCCCATTTGGATATCCCACAACTTAATTGTATTTTTCCCACATATCAGTGGTCCATGTCCTCAGGGAAAATTAGAAATACAAAATGACCAGGAAGAACTTCTGGACCCAGTGCTGGGTGGGGCTCCCTTGAGTTGTCATTATCAATTGGAGATTTAATGTTTGGATTATTTTAACAGACTGATTTTATGAGAATCTTCTGACTCTTGGGTTGCTTTATGATACCTTTTTCTCTATTTAATATTCTTCAAATATTTAAATATCACATTCCTTCTATAAAATGGACATTCCTTCCATAAGATGTGACATTCTGTGATCATCTATTGTAAATATGGTTATTTGTGACTATGAGGTAATAGGCAATTCAAGTTAATGCAGCCAAAAAGGATGTTTACTTGGTTTTATGTTCATTTGGAATTTACTTTTTGTACATAAAAATAAAATAAATACTGGATTTGTAAAAGAATATACTATGACCTGCTGCTCATTTTTAAGACCTTTTCTTGTGTGACAAGAAACTTTAACTGGAGCAATGAAAAGACTGTATTGAATATTCAGCTCATAATTAATTGGCAAACGCTCTGTCCCTGGTAATCATTTAAGGTCAATTCCCCAAGCCAGACTGTTCCTTTTTAAATTTGTGCCGACAAAGCTGAGTGAGCATCGTGTACCTTCCAAAGTCACAGTGAGGCAGAGAAGCCAGTCATAGCCAGGGCATGGGTAAGCACTAGTGCTGAAAACAATTAAGAATAATAAAATAAACAAGATGTTTTTTCTTGGCTCATTACACTTGAGTAGTAGAGCTTCATTCCCACTAACCTACAGAGCCCTTCCTGGAACGTCTGGATTTGACACTCAGGAGAGCATCATTGTTCATTCTGCAGTGAAGCAAAACCAGAACGGCAATGTATTCAAAGACACAGCACCCAGTTAACCTGGCAAACACCTCCCGAGTGACTGATGCCTGAGGTTTATCTGAAGCGGACAGAACAGAACAAGTCAGAAAAGACGCATACTGTCCCTTTTAGATTTCACCCTCCGTAATGTCGGATTCAGTGACACAGATAGGAAAATTAGGGCCACTGTGTTCCCTACTCCTAAGGGAACTACCCACAATAATAACCCTGTCATCATACCACCCACTGCCTTTAATTAAAGGAACTGCAGGGTCCAAGGGCACCAGAAAGCCTGAGGGGTGGAATACTTGACATGGAGCCCCTGAGAGAGAACAGACCACACAGGCATTGCCCATATGGCAACTCAAAGGGGCTCAAAGAGAATGGGGTGGTGCAAAAAAGTCAGGTGATGCCATTCATATATCCCTAGTGGTGGTTCCAGACCAACATCCATGAGCAGTTTCTAGCTGATTGGACCCTGCAATGCTGAAAGTAATCAGGGACCATAGAAGGAAAATCACTACTATGCTGCTTGGCATAAATGTGATTTCTAAGCCAGTCCAGTGATAGATACGTGCCTCTTTCTTTCTTTCTTTCTTTCTTTCTTTCTTTTCTTTCTTTCTTTCTTTCTTTCGTTCTTCTTTCTTTCTTAAGCATGGCATGCTAGGGATCATTGGAGTCAATATCATGCATGGTAGTGATTCTCTTTCCAATAAAGTTTTTCTGGGAGCCCAAAACTACATGAGTAAAAGCATTACATCACTCGTAAAAGTTGGGTTGATGATAAGGAACCCCTTTCTTATCTGTTATTACAACCTGAACTGTGTCTCCCAAAAGACAGGTTGGAGTCTTAGTCTCTGGCATGTGTGAAAAGGATGTCATTTGGGAATATGGTGTTTTCAGAGGTAATTAGTTATGATATCATGTTAGAGTGTACCTTTAATTCAGTTAAGTGTGGTCTCCTTACAAGAAAAGACACGGGGAGCAGCATAGCCTATGAAGATGCAGGCATGCGGGGGAAGGAACTATGTAAAGATGGAGGCGGAGGCTGGAGTGAAGCTGCCACCAGTCAAGGGATGCTAAGGGCTATAAGAAGCTGTAAGACCCAAGGAAGGATTCTTTTCCATGGGCTTCCTAGGGAGCCTGACCTGCTACGATCTTATACTTGCAACTTCTAGACAGTAGATTGTAAGAGAATCAATTTTTATTGTCTCCAGTCCCCCAACTTGTGATACTTTATTACCATAGGCCTAGAAAACTAATAAACATCCTCAAACACACTTCAGCTCCCAAAGACAGCCCATATCACCCTAGTGCTTTGAAACACCAGATTAAACAAAAAATCTTTTTTGCTATTGTTGTTTGCTTGTTTGGCATTTTTTTTCAAAACAGAGTCTTGTATACAAGACCCAGGATGGCTTTTTTACTTTCTATGCAGCTGAAGATGACTTGAACCCCTGATCTTCCTGCCTCCCTCCCAAATGCTAGAATTGCATGGCTATGTCACCAGACTCAGTCAAAGATCTTGAGTTTTGGAGTATGACTGATTTTTCAAATCCCAGATTCACTGGTTCCCATCTGTGGAATCGTAGATGAGTTTCAGATTCATTCTGAATGGCAATTCAACAATTTGCATTTAAAAACAAAGTGAAGAACTAGCACAGCAAACTATATTGGGGCAGTACTAGCACTTTTATCTTGGGGATCATCAAAAGCTATTTAATTTGGACTTAAAGCCCACTCAGTGGGAGGAAATTCATGTGTGGCACTGTAAACATAGCCAAATAGGCATAGCTGGAGAGGTCATAGATCTTGGAAAAACCCCAAGATTGTCACATCCCTAGACAAATGTAATTTCTTACTATGTGCTAAATACAGATCTTTATATTTGCAGACAAGTATACCAGTCACCACTTATCAAAGAAGATTCTTTTGTAACAGATGGAGATTATTACAGAGTTCCAGAACTGTTCACACACAGAAATTGCCTGTGAATTTCCCAACTCCAAGTGATACATCTATAATGGAACCTCTGCTCTTAAAGCCCACAGAACACAGTGGAACAAGGGGTAGGGAGAATACTAATGCACCTCTCGACTCTGATCAATGAAGCTCCCTCATGCAACAGAGAGACACGGACACAAAAGGATGCAAACAGCATAGAGAATAAGAGTCTGCAGAGTGTGGGTCCTTGGACAGGACTCCTTTATTAAACGTCACCCACCCAGGGTTCAGGGACCAATGCAGAAGAGGAGACAGAAAGCATGTAAGAGCCTGGGGAGGAAGTGCATGACCATATGGAAACAGAGTCTTACAGGTTCCTGGGGCTCCTCATACAAACTTACAGCAGTGGTGTCAGCATGCATAAGACCCATGCAAATTCAAGCAGACAAAAACCCAGAATAAAATTATGGAAATGGGCAGCAGGCCCCAATCTTAGCCAAAGAACGACTGGCAGCTGATCACTGCTGGGTGAGGAAGAACTGATCTTTTTTTAAAATAATTTTTAAATTTTTTTAGAAGAAGTATTTCATTACAGCTTTAACATACTCAATAACAGTTTCCAGAGCAAAGAAACATCTCTTTCAAAAGTGGCTATAAAATTGTTAGGTTCACAGTTGAATT